GCCAATTTTCCTCCCTTGACGGGAACAAGTAGTTCCTATTTACTCAGAGAAATTGGTGTTTACCTTAATTTGCATGGGTGATGTCTGCATTTCGTCTCCAAGAAGAAACAACCAGCTACTAAATTCTTTAAACTGTTTTAAACAGAAGAAAGAGGAGGAACGAATGGAGGAAAAGTGTAAAAAGTGTGGAGGACGGAAGTTGGGCGGAGATGTTATCTCGTCATCGTCGTCGTCGTCGTCCTCGCTTTTTGCCAACAAATAGCTGCCAGCCAGCGTATGTAAGGGCTAAGAATGAGAATTGGGGATGCATTCACCTGTCCGTTCTCCCATCCATCCATCCCTTTTCAAATATTCATAGCCATCATGTCCTCACGGCCCGAAAAACCCGCTACGATCACGGGTACATGCCCACTTTTATTTATGGGGGAAAACTAACAGCGGGACCAATCACTAAATATTATGGGAAATGGAATGGAGGCAATGGAAGCCTAGGAACACACTTCCTTTTCTGAACGAGGTACAAAAAAACGACAGAAATTGAGAGAGTTGCGCACCTATAAATTTATTTTCCTAGTTATGAAATCATGTAAAAATTTGCAGATGTAAAGTACAAAACTCTATATGTGTAAATTATTTCTGAAATTATGTAACAAAAAATCGCAAATATTTAAAATTTTAGAAGGTTAGGAATTGTTATCCGTTTTCAACTTGTGCTAAAATATTTACGGATGACACTTTTTGTTTGTTACTTTGTTCGCTGAAGTAGACAAAAAAATGTAAAATTGTGCATAAATTGATAGATTTGTGCGCCTAGAAATTTAATTCAATTTTGAAAATATGTAAAATTTATTTTTTAAATTCGTAATATTGTTTTTACGCTATAATGTATGTACAGAATACTTTAATTATGCATAGCTGAAAACAGAGTGTGCACCTATTTAATTCTGAAAATGTGCAAAAATTTATTTTTTCTCAAAGTTTTCGTGTCGTAATTCATGCACTTTAAGATTTGTCTCAATTTCCCACTAAAATTTGTACCTACGTCAGAAGAAAACCATCAACCCAGCAAAACTTTCTTTCCTTTCCGTCCCTCCCGTGCGATTTCCCAATGCGAGCAAAATGCACTAAAAGTGTTCAACTTTATGTCCAACTTTACGAAAATGTTTCCCCAACAGAACGACGCCCATGAAAAATTCATCCTTACAAAACAACTTCCACTCTTTCTCTTTCTCCGACAGGTAAGCAATGGTTTGGGTTTTGGTGACAATAATTTACACCTCGTCCTCTCACATACCACACAATACACCAATTTCACACCGAATCGCTCCACTATACAAAACAACCTTCCATTAACTCTGCACCCTTTATTTATGCATGAGACGACTAGTGACAAATTGTGATTGTGAATAGTCATGATGACAACGGAGGATTAAGACCAAAGTGAGAATTTGACTGACAACCAGAAGCTTCGTTTTCCTTAAGGAAAAATGGGTAGAAAAACCAGAAGCTTTAAAATGAAGAGTAAATTGTCCCGTACGTAAGTATTTTATGCCCAAAAATCTCACGTTATTTATGACCCTTTTTTTCTTCTTCTTAAGAAGAGATGATTTTGGTTTTGAGCTGTTTGAATTAAATTTTACTGCCTCACTTCACCTCGCTCACTTACTTATTTTCAGGTTCAAGGAAGCCAATTATTAACAAGATGTTAAATTCTGTAAAACTCACCTGGGGGAGAATTCGTCAATTTTTGTGGGTAAAAAAAGTATCTATGTATGTACGTCAATGTGAATTAAATACGATGTTGTGTTGTGTTATACGTATTAGAAAAGGAGTAAGTAATAAATAGTTAAAGTTTAAAACTTAATAATAATCCTTGGTCAGACTGGAAGTAGATAGTTTTAGCTATGTGGCAGTGGAATTGTCAGAGGGCGGATATGTATTTAAGGGTAATTCCTGAAATATGTATTTAATATTTATAAAAAAACGCAAAAATATTTACGAAATATGTACAAAAAACAAAATTGGGATTTTTTAAATGTAAAGCTCTGAATTTTTTGTGGTAAAATTTCTTCGAACGAAAAAATCGTCTCGCATCGTTGAAATATTTAGAAGCATATCTATTTTTCAAAAAACTATCTAAAAGATTTACGACCATATTTTTCAAATAATATCGGAAATATCTATAATTTTATTTTTGAAAACCTAGAAATATGTGAAAATATGTGAAAATATTTTGAAAATTTAGTGACCTTTTCGAGTTAGCGAACACACCACAACGTTTGACCGGTGGTCATCATCCAATGAAAAAGTTGAAAATCCATACATATCCGCCCTCTGCTTATATATGTTATATCATCATCATATTCAACCCGACTACTCGACCTCGAGTTAACCACCCTTTTATTACGTGGTTTGCTTTTTTTATTGGAACAATAGAAATTGGTTGCTTGCTGCCGATGCTCTTTTATTACTACGGGAGGTTCCACTTCTCTCTTAAAGGAGGCAATTTCACCCAAGCAATTTCCTATCCTACGCTTCGTAAAATAATAAAAACTCGCCCGCTAAAATGTTGCATGTTATGTGTGCTTCGTTCCTGTTCTAATTTTGGATGGACACACATTTACCTCCAAAATCTTCCAATTTGAACCAGAAATAATAATAATTGACGATTTCTTGTACAATAATTGGAGTTAATGAGTCAAAATTCCGGGGAGGAACTTGCAGAATATTTTATTATGAAATGAAATCATCATAAAATTCTGTTGGGCAGACATCGAGCCAAATATTTGCCACCGTTTAACATTGCATTTTGTAGTATGCAATGGAAAAAAATTCATTCAACAATTCGTACTTATCAGATCACGCAATTATGTAAAAATAAAAATACGCTCCTCCCAGACACGAAATTATTTAACACACGGGACATGCAAAATGCTACAGACACGTCACACTATTTTTGGTGTTTTGGATGAGTTATGAATTTCAATAAAAGAAAAGAGAGACAAACAACACGACTTTATTCATTTATGAAATGGCCCAGTTCTGTATTTATGAATTATTGTGATGATATTTTATTCCATAGACGAGACGACGGCAACGACGGACCTTCACTTTTTTTTGCTCGTGTATGTAATGCACCCTCAGTAAATGGATGACATGACATGCACCCACTCCAACCAAGCTCCTCATCATCACACGAAAATGAAGGTAAAAATGCAGGGCAAGGTTACATTTATGGCGTTTGAAAGTACAAGTACGATCGTTTATGAAGTAAGTGAGTTAGAGGGTCTGTTATTTTACTTGATTTTATGGTGGGGGTGGATCCACTCTTATTTTCACCATATACGCACGTCAAGCTTGCATTTCTAAAAATTGATCTTGTTTTTCGCATACATTGCAAATTGAAAATTCGCCAACCGGATAATGTATAATTTGCCTGAAAAATTAATCTTTATTTTGTCTTCTGCATAAATTTGCATCCTAGAAAATTCGCCAGCTTTCTGACTGGACAAGAATTTTTCTACAAAAACTTGATGAATGACCACATTTACTTAAATGAATCATCCATACATAAATTGCACAATTGAAAATTCGCCAATCGAACTTCGAACAAGAATCCCACCACAAAAAATAAGTGCTCCTGATGAATGACCACATTTACTTGCTTAAACGGATCATCTGTTACGTTCCACAATTTACATGCTTACATAGCTGATTCGAATTCGAGTCACAAGTTGTTGGTTCGTGTCAGAAGGTGAATGAGAGGAGAGGAGGATGCAATATGCTGTCCAAAAAATTCATGACTTTTTTCGACACCGACTTGACTTCGTCCACGTCCACCACCCACCCACCATTTACTTACTCACCAGATAAATAAATGGAAATGGAGTAAACTACGCCTCGCTCTGAAGGAAGGAGAAGAGTTTATGTAACATATACATCAAAGGAGGGATATTAATAATAAAATGTGTATGTGATGTGATGCCCCTGTTTTTGTGCACCGGAAATAATTACGAGTTTTTAAGCCAGAAAGTCTCAAAACCCGTTTTCCCTCACAAACAACGACTTACTGACATCAACTCAACGGTAACCAAAAATTCGAAGCTAAGAAATTCTCTAAATTCATACGAATTATTTTATCGAGAGGCCAGAAAACAGCAACCTTGAGAGAGAGAGAGGCCTGTGTAATTGTAATGAGGATCAAGCCTTAAAAGGTCTGCGATGAGGAGGACTCGTCACCCGGTGTTATGTTATTTCAGTGCCAATTAAACTAACAAGTTGATATACAGCATGGAGACAATCAACCAAATTCGTTTGTGGTTTGGTTATAAGTGAACAAATGGCTTCTTAACCAAGTCAACTGGACTGGAAAACTGGACCAGCACTTAGAAATTATGTATGCTCTCAGGAAAAAAAATGACGACGACGACCAATAACAACGGACCAGACCGGACCACTTTACTTTCATTTAACTTAATTACGCTAAGTAAACATGGGCAGAATTCTAATTCTGTGTGAGCTGAGCATCATGCAAACCGTAAATATAATAACCTCGAATTAGTCTCATCTCGTGTATGTACATGTGTAACGGGTGATCTGATCGTATGTCTAAATATTGTGTGTAATTAAAAAAAGTTAAGAAATGGAGTACACGAAGATACGCGTATGTGGTTTGCATACACTCTTAGAAACCCAGTATTAAAATAATACCAACGTGGTATTGATAAGTAATATCGTGCAGTAATAGCTCGATATTCAAGTTTTACCATGTCGTTATGCAGCAAAGTTTTACGGACCGGTATAATTTTACTACCAAGTGGTATCAATTTTAATATATACGTGATTATACCAGATTTCTAACAGGGACATATCTAATAATGATGCCACTTATTTGATCTATTTTAATGGTGATTAAAATTCAGCTAAGATGCTCATAATTTCGTTGCAATTTTGCCTAAAATTATGCCCAGAACTAGCAAAAAAAAAATTTGTACACTTACAAGTCGTCTCTTTGGTTTGATAAGTGGTCGATTTTGCCCATTCATCTTGTAGTAGAGACCGCAAGCGTTACACAAATAGTGACCCGTCCCATCCCGACGCCAGAGAGGGGTCGACGTCGCCCCACAGTTGACACACTCACGACCCTCTGATGATAACAAAACAAGGATACATTTAATTCTCTCTAACCCCACAAATTAACCAATTTGCCCAATTAAACAGCAACGTACATACGAAATTAAGAGTGGTTGAGGTCATAAAAAGCGGGGAAAAAAGACATAAACATGGAAAAATCGGATGTACCAGCAAACAACTGCACTAAATAAAGGAATAACCGAGCAGCAATAAAGGAGATGTAGAGATAAAAATTAGTACTACTAGTAGAAGAAAAGGATGGTTAAATCATGGGAAAAGCAGATTTATGTAGATAAGTATGGAAAAGTTAAGTCAGTTGCATTTCCCAAAGTCGTAAAGTAAGTGGAGCTCAAGTATTTCACCTAAATAATTACAAATTAAGATAAGCAACAGAAAGTAAAATAAGGTAACTAATCCAATCCAGGTTTAACAAGGGGGAGGTGATTAAGTTGTGATGGTGGTGGTTTCGTAGTTTTGATTAGTTTTCGAGTACACCTTGTAAAAACAAATCATTAAAAACAAAGGTTTTTTTTAGAAATGGAACGGTAAAAAAAGTAATTTGTGGATAAAATTGGGTAAAAAAATCGACTCGTTAATAATTAAAGTTGTCGTATTTAGTTAGATCATAATTCCTTTTTTTTCTGTCATAATTGCGATTTGCGTAATCAAATCGGACGAATATTTTGGACCTTGTCGAAATCGCAGGAGAAACGTAGAGCGAGAAGAAGAGTTAAAAGCCGATGAGAAAAATTTGGCAAAAATGCAATTGTGTTATGTCATATTATAGATTTACAAGTAGCAATCCGGAAAAAATTAGTTTTACCGTAGCATAAATTTCGTTATGCGAAAGATTCCCGTGTTTTTTTTTAGCAGAAAATAGTTTGCTATTTTAAAGAAGGAGGAGTTTAGAGCATAAATTTTGTTATGTAAAAGTTCCCCTGAATTTTTTTAGTATGCGGAAATTTGAAAGTTTGAGAGTTTAGTTTTTAAAATTTTTATGAATTTCTCCTCGAAAATGTCCCTTTCATTTCTTACCAGCACTAGTTCGACTCTTGTTTCTCTGCGAGTTCGAGTTGGCGGAATTGTTGGAACTAGGGTTGGACTTTGAGGAGGAGGAAGAGGACGTGGGCGTCAGGAAAGTGGGTGTGGGCGAGGAACTGGACGCATTATTTTTGCTACTACTACTCGAATGGTGGTTGTGGGAGGAGGAGGAGGAGGAGTGGTTATTATTATTATTATTATTTGAGGAGGAATGGTAGAGGAAATGTTGGTGGGAGGCGGGGGGGAAGTAGTTGTTGTTGTAGTAGTCAACCACACCTTCTCTCCCTTTCGGGGGCACTTTGAGATCTTCGGAGGACGGGCAGGACGAGTAGTCGGAGCCATTCGTGGTCCCCGCGGCTTCCGGGGTGGACGAGTCCTTCGGCGGCGTGGGGGGAAAGGGGAAGGATTTGTAGCCTGACGAAGGCATCGTCCAGCCACGCTCCCCCAGCCAAGGGTGGTGCAGCGAGGCGGGCTGGTGGAACTGGGGGCGACACACGGCGGACAGGTGACCTCCCCCGCCGGAGAGGGAGCCCCCACCACTCCCGCCGCCGCCGCCACCGCCTCCGCCGGATACGGGGGGACTGTTCGACGAGGCGACGTGAGAAGTCATGCGACCCACTGAAAAAAAATATAAAATTTGATAAGACAACTTTTCATCGGAAAATTAAACTTAGGACTCATCGCCAAAATTAGCATAATTTTTAATCATTTATCGGCTCTGGGAATTTATTTTAAAATTCTGAACGAAATTTGTAGAGCAAGGAGTTACCAATAAATATGCATATGCACTCCGTTTACGAAGGAGCAGACCTCAAATTTAAGAAGAATTCAGAACATTTGTAAATTATTGAAACTGGCTCTCAAACCTCACAAGACTGCAAATTTGTCATCCAGAATTTTAAAATAAATTCCCAGAGCCGATAAATGCTTAAAAATGTGTCGACTTTAACAATTTTTTGACCAAGACGTTAACACTAATTTTGCATCTTGAAACAATCCCATAATTTTAATTTCTCTCCTTTTCTCAACAAAAAATCAAAATTTCATCCATCCACAAATCGTCACGTCCTTAAACCTTTATTACCACAACAAACTGATCATTACCCATTATTTCGTTCCCCTCATTAAAAAAAATCTTAAATTGCTGCCATCAATGTCCAACCAAACCAAACTTTTCATTTGCACATCACCCAGTAACGCTGTAAAAAAACCACGACTTGTTACACACACGATAAGAAATTTTGTATCCCAATAATCTTTCCTCCTAATGATAAATACGATTGACCAACCAACCAGGGTTGCCTTAAGCCTGCGACTTTGTGCAATTCTGACCATAAAAGATGCACAATTTGGACACCTTAAAAAAGGGATTTCCCAACCCAGCAAGTCACTCACTGGGGCGAGGAAGCCGTTGATTTTGCAACTGATACGTCGTAAACCACCTCAACGATTAAACATGCCAATTAAAAATTTACAAGTAAATACCTTCAGTTATGCTGGCTGACTTTTATTTTTAATGCTGCTGTTAACACGCGGAGGGAAAATAGTAACAAAAAAAAGTACAAAAATCTGTAACAAAATTATTAATACGATGTGTATTTGTACAATTCGGTCGGTGAGGTGATGTTCATCTCAGATATTAAATAAATGCTACGCGCTGCAACAATCACGTATTAATTATTAGGCATTATGTAGAACAAGGAAAAATATAATGATATGATTTAATCCGGATCTGAATAAACTTATATTTTTATATTTTTTATACGCACAAAAACTATTGGAAATGAATAAAAATCTGATTTTGGGCAACCAACCGGAAGAGAAAATCAACCTTCCGAAACACACGTATTCAATTTATATTTACTTCTCCGATTTGTGATTCAGTTCAAATTCAAAGCCTTAATGTGTAGTTGTAATCCTGCATAAAAATCTGAAAATTTTGTGCTGTGCAATTAATTTTATTTCTAATTAAGAAACTCATACCAAAGATACTAATCAGAATCTGAGGAATCGGCTAAAAAATCATGCTGCATGTTAACCGCAACTACAGTGCGTAAAGGGATTATTACAATGTATGTATGTACACATTTCACCGTAAAATGAGAGAAAAACGGCTAAAAGTACGGCAGTAAAGCGGATATTGTTGTATTTCTTTTAAAAATTGGCAGGTTTTCACAACAATTTAAAACGACGAAAAGTACTGCAAGTATAATAAATTAGATATTTATTTTCAAAAATTGGCACGTTTTCACAAGAATTTTGCCAATTTTGCCAGAAATTTATTTAGATGCACATTTTACCCTGAACTCAAGATAAAAATCTCATGCATTGTTGTACATACTTAAATAATTTTTGACGAAAATGCAGTAATTTTCTTCAGGTCACACCACAAACTAACCTTCTCCAACTGGCGATCTATGCGCGATTACCTGCAGTTTGGCTACAGCCGCCGCAGAATACTTAACAGATTAACATCAGGATCATCATTAATTATCTCGGAATCGGAAACACAAGTCAAAATGATGCAGTCTCATTTTAACATCGTAAATATAAATATAAATATAATTACGTAATTCATTTCATATCATAATTCAGCCTTGTTTTTTTCAGATAAAGACGAAAGGAGAGGTCCGAATAATAATAGCGAAATAATGGACTCTGCAACACTTTTATACGGTATTTGTGTACTAATTACTCATTAATCTTTCATGGTGGAAAATTATGTGAAGGATGGAAGAAGAATGTGATTTATTCGCCAAATTTTTACCAAAGTAAAATAATAAATACAAAGAATTTCAGCCGCCACTCACTTCCGCCGTCAAATGAAAGCCAGGTAATGAATTCAATTGCTCAGATTTCCGGCGGATTTGGTAAGTAAGAAAATTATTTTTATTAGTTTCGAATCAATTTAATTTTTAATTGCAAAACCGGCGATTTAATTTTCCAGATCATAAATTGCGACGTGAGACAGGTGATGGAAAATCTTGGCGAGATTAAAAAATGTATATGAAAAAAGTTGCATGCATTTCATGGGCCAAGAAAAGAACGGAACTGAATTTACCTTGTCATGCTATAGCCAGAAATATTTAGAAATATTAAGGATAGCGTGATGTAAATAATGCCTGTTTATGCATTTCTGACTGATTTGCTCCCATATGCAGGAGCAGGAGCAAGACGGTCTTATTCCTCAGATCCAGCCGGAGATTAGTGTCTTATCAGATCTTTAATTATGAATGGGCAAGTTCGGGTTTCTCTCTCTCGTGCCAAAATTTAAGCTTGTTTTTCTATACGTATGTACTTTTTAATGATGACATTTAACGTAATATGTATGCCGACTTGATTAATTATTAATTCATTGAGTTAAACCTTAATTGTGTTGGGGGATTAATTATGTGAGAATTGTGCATTAATCGGGGAGTAGAGATAGTTCATGAAATATTAATTACATACGGGCGAAAAGTAATTAATGAAATTTTGAGAATTTGAGAGATAATTTTACATTATGTTTGAGCAAATTGTGTCCTTACTTTATGAGACGAGATACAATTTATGAAGAAATTATTACTGGTGAAAGCTAATTAATGAATTTTTGAGAATTTTAAAAAAATTTAAAGATAATTTTGCATATGCACATAATTTACATATTTAAATAATTGTCCTTACTTTGTGAGTACTGGGACTGCATGACGCTGTGTTGCGAGTAGTATCTGGCGACGCGTGGGTCGGCGAAGAATCCGTCTGCGCCCATCGCCTCCTCCCCCCCAAAACCTCCGCGCTCCATGTACACACCCAGATTCGTCTCACGCGTCATCACAATTCAACACGTTTTTTTTGTATTAGTATTTAATGTTTCCACTCACTCACGCCACAAAAATCCTGACAATTGTATTTGTGTTTCTGCACATTTTGTATGTTCAAGATTTCAAATCGCCTCCAAATAATGGATGCATGTTAAACTGTTAAGATTTACCATTCATTTGAGAATAAAATTATCAGTTCACTTCCACCCGATAACACGTTATCTTGTTTTAAATACTTATCACATGAAACAGATGAAGGAATTCCACCCACTTTATAAATTCTTAGAAAGATGCACTTTTACTTCCTTCCAAATATGAATGAAGGGTCACTACTTTTACTCGTAACACTTTTTCATACTATGTCATGAAAAATTGTCACAAAAAGTGCGACCAATTCGCATTATTAGTGTCATTCTTATCGACCAAAACTAAGTATACGCTAAGTACTTATCAGATGAGAATTAAGAGATGCATCGATTTGTTTTTATTATTTATCTTGTTCCTTAATCAGTAATCAATGCAGTCGGAGTGCAGCAGGAACAGCAGAGTCCTTGTTGTTTGGTTGGTGATGAGTGATAAAATGGTAACAAAAAGCTTATCTTGTAGACGAGTTATCTTATCTCGGCCTGTACCAAAAAGTACAAAGTCAGTCACACACAATACAGCATGAGTCGAGATCGTATAAACGCTGCTATATGACGACGAGATGCATTGAATAAGCAACTCTTCTTCTTCTTATAACAATTCGGTTAGTGAGTGTTTAATCCTCTCAAGTTCAGTCCAATCCACCAGCACTGCTGCGGCCAACTAAAGTGAGACTGACGAGAAGGATAGTATGGTATCAAGTAGTGGAAAAAGGTAGTTTGGTCACTCTTACTGCTGACTTTGGGCGGAGGGGGATCGAAAATGGGGCTCCGCCTTGGCAGAAATGCTATCAGCCAACGAGGCGAAAGCTTTCATCGCGTTTCGACTGCCTCCTCCGTGGCGACGCGATATTCCATGGAGCAAGTTGGGCTGCACGGCCAGTTCGTGGATGGTTAGAGGAGCGAGGAGAGGAGAGATAGCTTTTCATGAAATAAGGACTGATTTGAATGGTGAAGATGAGATTGGGGTATAATCGGGGGGACAGAAATGGATTTTTATAAAATGGGTAATAAGGACGCCGAAAATGTAAAAATGGGGTAAAATATAATTTATTTAGGAGGAAAAATAAATAATTTTGGGGGATAAAATGAGAAACGGCGTTTTTGTAATCAAGGTTGAACGGAGATTGGTGATATAAATCGGTTACATAATTAGCTCCAGAAACCAAATTTTCTCTGGGAAATGGGTACAATACCGAATGGCGAAAATTTTAAAACGGGAATTTTGTTAATTTAAGTAAAATGTGTAACAGTGACGCCAAAATGCAAAAATATATGTATTTAGTAATATAAATTATATAAATTTAGGTGGTTGGATGTGAAAAAATCACTAGTATTAAATTAAACCTGAAACAACAACGACGTTTTGGTAAAGCAAATAATTCAAGGCGACTTGCTCCATAGTTAAATAATTGCTAACACTGGCGCAAGTTGCATCTAATGTCGACACACCAACTACATATTTTCAATTTCTTAATTTAATTTAATTTGATTTATTTGCAATTCTTTGCACAATTCTTTTCTCAATAATTTATGAATATCACGTAAAAAAAAGTCATGCCCTGCAACTATTTAGAGCAGAACGGTATGGAACGTATGTAAATATGTATGCTAAATGTCACAACAATGCTTAGCCCCCTTTAATGAGTGACATGACAAGTTAGATAAGTCAAGATTGGATAAAAACGTGTCTGATCTATCTGAGGTGATTTTCGCTCATAAATAAATTGTCATTATACAAAATCTCGTGCCCATAAACAAAGGAAAAGTAGCTCTGTTTTACTTAATTTACAACTCTTTGTTTACTTATTTATTCACTTGGCTCCGGTCAAACTTGACTTGAGGGTGGTCATGTTCTTCTCATTGTGGACGACGTGCCAGATAAGAAAAAAGTTAGTTAGTTGGTTGATGGTGGTGAGTTAATGAGAAAGATAAGATACGTCACGTCACCCCATTCATTACGCATCTCATCTCCATCTCATCTCATCTCTCACTTGGCAATTGGACTGCACATCTTATCTTATCTTGCCTCACCTTATACTTCTCTTTACCTGACTTTGTTACCCTTCATGAACTAATGAGCTTCGTAGTAAGTAAGTAACGTTCCGTGTGTCGTGTCCAGCTTGTCTCGTAATCCTCTTACATGATCAGCAGCAGCAGCATGACAAAAATTGTGCAAAAAAATGGGGGCATCAGATACGTATGAAGAATGGAGGTCTCCCAGCGTATGCTTTGTGATTTTGGCCAAACTTGTGTTAGTCGATGACAAATTTAATTAGTATGAAAAATTTGCAAAAGACATGATCTCCCAATCGGGACGTTTGGCAGAGATATTTGCATCCGAAGAGGAGAAAACGCGCAGAAAATTTGGAAAGTGTAAAATTTGTCGACTTTAAGGCACGTTTTCTCCTCTTCGGATGCAAATATCTCCGCCAAACGTGCCCACTGGGAGATCGTGTCTTTCGCAAATTGCATTCTAATCAAATTTGTGATCGATTGAGACTAGTTTGGCCAAAATCGGAGAGTATACTCTGGAAGACCCCCATTGTTAGTTAGGAGACCTATCGCGACTTCATCTTTATTTTTCCTCTGTGTTCACCTTATCGTGGACATGTATCGCTTATCATGCCAATAATGGAGCAAGTTTTCACTCTTTTGTGGCCGGGTATTAAATATTTATGTATCAGTAATCTGCCCATATTCATAATCCCGCTATATTTATGCGGATCTTGTCTTTGTCTTGGGCAGGCAAAGTTTTCCGTCGTGAATGAAAGTACGTAATCTGATGGGCATTGAATTCTGCGGTGGTTGGTGACATAGACATACATACAACAGTTGCTGTTCTTGTGAATGGATGCTGCAAAAATGTGTCGTTGGTTGTGGGGTACGTATAAAATACGGCCATCAGAGTGGCTGAAAATTGCAGGATAAGATTGGACATAAGATTTCTTTCCTCGGTGTTTCTTCGGGTGCAAGTTCGGGTTTCTTGCTGATAAGTACTTATTTTGACCTGCAAGAAATGCAAGGCGCAAGAAACGACTTCCAGGCGCTATAAATATTCATAAGGCGCGTGGCTAGATGGCGCATATTTCTTGCACCTCGCATTTGCGTTTCCTGCTTTGAAGTCCAAGAAATGCAGCAAACCCACAGGAAATGAAACACTGTTTCCAACTTTTTGGTAGTGATATCTGTGCAAAAATGTGTACACTTCTCTTCCGGAAATTATTTTTATAAAGAAAAAATATTAAAATTATTACTTAATTAGGTTAAGTCAATCTTCTCGATGTATTTAATAAGAAGCCAAGAAAAGCCTATTACCATTCGCCCCGAAAACTCAGCTTTTCCAGCCACCCACCCAAACCCAGTAGGCAACACCCGTGTCTGTCTGTCTGTCTGGACGCTGGCATCGCATCGTCCCGAAATCGGAGATGAGATTCTTCTTCTTCATCTTGACTTTGTGACTTTTCGGAGAGAAGGATGTCGGGGAGACTGACTTAGATTTATCTCCCAGCTTATCTCCCCCTCTCCTTTATTACAAAGGGAGACCGAACTGCAGAAAACTTTATTCCGTCATCTTCTTCTCGATCCCTCTGCGAGAAACCAGAGTTGGCTTGGGACTCGTCTTCCGGGAATGAAACACGATGTAAATTTCTGGATAGTTTTTTTTTACGAAAATATAATTAAGGATGCGTTTCCACATTGCATTAATTCAATTTCTGTACGATTTTCTTAAAATTTGGAGACATCATAAATTATTTTTAGGTCTCAAATTGAGCCACATTTCTGTCCTGTCGTGTCGATTGATTCGCTTCCCTGAAAGGTTTCATTGTCGTCGGTCGTCGTTTTGGTGCATAAATCTTGATCCATCCATTCCATTTATTATTATTCCGTCTTTGTGAGAGAGTGAAAAAAGGGTGCATTTTATTCCGCCCTTGTCTTGTCATTTGTTGTTGTGGGAGTAGTATCTTAGAAGTGGATTTGTATTTTGTAGCACTGCCTGCTCACTTTTTTATTTTCTTCAATCTTATTTGATTTACAAATTTGTTTTGTTGTGCAACATGTAAAACTGGAGCTAGATACGTTTTTTTCTGAGTCATTATACGTTGTGCGTGTGTGGTAAATATTTATGGGGAATTTGGTAATACGTGATTTTTTTTACACAGTTTCACTTTTCTTAGGCCATTTAGATGCTTATGTATTTACAAATATTTTTGGAGAAATATGAAGAAACTGGGGATTTCTTAGGATTAATAAATTATGCTAATAAATCTGGACCGGAATTTGCCTTGTGTTCGACTTATTTTTATAATGTAAATATTTCAAAATCGTCAATATTTCCAAATAATAGTAAGTGTGAAACTGGGTGAAATTTTCTTAGCATGCCTGGGCTGGATTGTTTATTAAATTATGTTAATAAATCTAGAATTTGACGTGTGTTTGACTTATTTTCATAATTTAAATATTACAAAATCCCTAATACTTCCAAATTATACATACGTAACCTAACAAGTTTTTTCTCAGAAATTTTTCCAACAAATTGTTGCCATCCTTATTTTTAAGACTTGTATGGATAAAAAAATCCTCGAAATGAATCCTCGGCGCCACAAAGCTGTCAAAAATGTCGCCCATCGCATCAAAATTCAATTGGATTTTGAATTCATGTAACGTAATCGACCTCACCTTCTTCCATTCTCCTCGCTTCTTCTCGTCCTCGTCTTCAATTCCATCCAGGACGTCGATCAGCAGAAATAAAATAGGAACAAATTGAGCCCAGATAACGATTTTGGTCATCTTCTTCCCTCCTCCTCCTCTTACTTAACTCATAAAATGTGTAACACCCCAAATTTCTCCAATGTTCTCGTTAAGCACTTATTTATGTTTATCCACGAGACCGAAAACTTAAAAACTTTGCTAAGCAAAGCAAACCAAAGGTTGAGTTGACATTGGGATTAAACACGGGTTTAAGTGCTTTAAAAGAAGTTTTCCTCTTTTTGTGACAAATTGCTGAACAATGAAGGAACTCGGTTTTAGGAGAAAAGTAAATAAAACTTGTGTTGCTTGCAAGGAAGAAAAAAGACAATGCAAGTGATGGGATGGGACACACAACACAATGACAATTCGGTAGCACGACGAAAAGAATCTCGTCGTCGTCCGTCTTCTCACTGGTCTCACCTTTTAGGCTTAAACAGGTCAAACCTTTTCACAGAGTGAGTGGGATTTGGACGGCAGAAATCAATCGTATAAGATGTACTGTACTGCATCCTCCAATAATTCTTTGGGATGATGAGCAGAAAATCTCATCTGTTTCTGGATAAGTTTCTGAAGGATGATGGATCTCGTATATTTTTTGGCTGGCGTCAGGTCACTTTTTTCGTCTCATCTTCCTTCCGAAAGCTGGTGGCGATACAATAAGAAAAGAATGACGGGATAGATACGTAGTAGGCATGTTACTAATCTTTCTTTGCGCATCAAGATTGTGAATCAGAACAGAATTTAATTTCACTTTGTACTTTAAATGCGGAGAACTCGAGACTCTTGTATTTTAAAGGATTTATTTATTTACTTAAAACTTAGGAGGAGAAGGAGGAAATGAAACGGTGGCGGTGGCGGCAGTGAGGAAGCCTTAAAAAAGATGAGGAGAAGAAATCTAAAAACCAA